GTTTTGGCCCTTTGGTTTGCTCTTGAATTTATTGCCCTGTGGTCCCCCTTTTACCGAAATGAATATGGCTGTTTGGTCCCTGTGCTTGGCTGCTGGGATCCGTGACTTCCCTGCTTGGAACTATGGCTTTATTCCCTCTTTCTTTTGCTGTGCCGTTTGGGATTTTGGTATAGTGACTGTTGGTCTTTCAATTCCCTCATTTATTTGAGTATATGAAGAGATTTTGGGGGCTGTTTTTGGACAGAATTTGAACAATTTTAAGTGGCTGTTTGGTGGCTGTTTTTGGGGAAATTCCAAGAGACTTTTATTGATTTCTAGACAGATTTCTACTGCAGTTTTTAGGTGCCTTTTGGCCTTCTATTTTCAGCTTTTAATTAATGTTTTGGGGCTGTTTGTATTCCCCTCTTATGTCTATAAATAGTAGTTGTTTAATATTTTAGAGAGGTTATGATGATAATTTTTGGGACAAAACCTGAGAGGTTTTCCTTGGAAATAGCTTGAGAGCTTTGTTCCACTTCTTCTTCTACTTCTATGAAAATCTTGCGAGCTCTTTCCAACCTTCGTCTTGGCTTCTAATCTCTTTCGTCTCTCCGCAAGTATCCACTCCATTGTACCCTTCGTCTCTTGAAAAAGCAAGTTTAGGTGTGTGTCCAAGTTTGTAAGTGACATTAAATATAAGAGTTTTCTCTAATATTATGAAAGTGTCTTTGTTTTTTATTTTGTGTCTTTTTAGAATTTGGTGAATTTCTTTAGCATTTTTTAGTATTTCTTTTATATAGGAAGTCTTCTAATTTTGTGATAAAAAAATTTTTGATTGCATCAATACTTGAGGAACCAACAAGTAAATACATAATGAAATGGAATTTAGATTATCAAAATCATATACCATATGATGTTGCAATTATATCAGATTTTATTATTTCTTATGTCATAGTTTGTGTATCTCACATCTTTAGAAATTGGTTCTCCTAGACCTGCATTCTTTTCCTTTTGTAAACATCCTAAAGGTAGGAATTTTATGTATATATTTTTGTAAACAACAAGCTTAAGTAAATCCAATAAAATTTTAAATGCTTTACCTCTACCATCCTTCTCCTCATTCTACCTAACTCCTTCCCTTACCTCTCTTTCCTCTTCCTTCCTTGTTTTCCCTACTGGATTCAACAACTGATATCAGTAAATTAACAGCATCCAATATTGATCGTAGAAAACCTGAATTCCAGCAGACCTCCATTCATAACACTCATATTTCAGCATGTTTCTTACAAATTTTAGCAAAATTTCAGCCCTTACCTTTAGTGCTTTCTTACCTTACTGTTTTCTGAAGTTTTTTCATCTCTTTTTTCACTGATTAACAACTCCTGCAGCAGTCCCCCTTCAATGTACACTGCAGCAGTCCCTTATCTTAACTTAGAAATTGTCTATTTCGTGAATCCTTCCAGTAACATGCAGCAGCTCTAGCATTAAACACCTCCGTCTTCTAGTTGCTCTCCCGCTGCCTTGCTGCCAAACTTCAGAAAACAGAGAGCAATGACAGTTTGGAGGAAAGAATAGGCTAGTGCTCACTTTGCTTAATATTATATTCTTATTAACCCTCCACTACACATCCATTAACCTCCTTTTTGCACATTCAACCGTTGGATGAAAGCAGCCACTGCATGGGGTTTTAAGTGGCAATAGCTGTAGCAGCTATTAAATGAAATGTTGAATGGTTGTAGTGGCTCAAATAAAAAGGTATACATATATTTTGGATGTATATACTTATGTACATCAAATGGATAAATGATAACTAGAATTTAATAAAAACAGGGAATGATTTGTGGAAAATTTATGCTTGCATTTGACAAAATTTTGGATATTATACGTTGTGGCCTCAATAACTGGATAATGGCCCTGATCTCTGGCTGAGCCCTTTCATGAAATTTCTCTCCAGCACTGTCTCAAATAGGCTCCCCAATCGGCTAGAAAGGTACTCAAATCTCTTCTGATAATCCATCATTGTCCCTTTTCTAAACCAGAGCAAAGAATTGCTCGTATAAGTCTCATTCCTAACTAGTTTGGAAGCATTCTAATAAACTATCTTTGAAAGGTGGTTTCAATGCAAAAGCAAGGGCTCTCCTACGAATACTACTAGGAGATCGTAGCGGGATCCCTCCACAATCGGATTGGATCTCTTATGTCTCGCCACTGATACCAAGACAAGGCCTTCCCCTCTGAGCATAAAGCCGTCGTTGTGAGTCTCTCCTCCTCCGTCAGTGCATTCACCACAAAGTATCTCTCCACTCTATAGATTCACCCATGAGCATCTGCCCCTTCAAAAACAGGCATCTTAAGTTTCTCACTACTACATCCCCTCTGCCCCAACTTTCTTGTCCACCTCTAGCTCCTCCCACGTGGCGATTGTTTTGATCTCTCCATTATTTTCCCCCACCTCCTCCTTTCATAGATATCCTCTTCCTCAAAATCAACCCTCCTCATTTCTTCCTCCCAATTTCTCCTCATGTCATATCCTTCACACATTTCTCTTCTGGTTATCAGTTCAAGAGGTGGCATATTTTTCCTGTCGCCCAAGATTTCTACCTTTCGATCATCCCCCATTGTGTCGATATTGGTGTTTCTCCCACTTCCTTGGCCATCCGTTGGTTCTCTTTCCTCCGTTGTTGCTGGTTGGGTGTGAAACTTCAATATTTTCTTCTTCATTCCCTCTAAGTTAGAAAACCTTCCTTCCATAGATGAAAATCGTTCCTCAATTTTTTATTTGAGTTGACTAACTTTTCCTTCTAGTTTCTCTTTCAAAGCATCCACTTTCTCTGGTGCCATAGATCCTGAATCATGCTCTGATACCAATTTGATAGGAATCTGGCATCCACACAACAAAAGTAGCAATAACGAAGAAAAACGCACTAGAAATCAATGAAAAAGATCTTTATTTTCACACAACAAACCAAGATACAAGTTGATATACTATTCGAGTGGTATATTGGCTCTTCACAAACCTTAGGCACCGCCAGGAATAACTCCAAAGAAAACTATAACAAATACAAATCACATAATGAAAATTAAGCAACCTAAATAGCCTTATATAAGCCTCCCTAATTCCCTCCCAAATCTCACTTCAAAACAATCATCTTTCCTTAAATAATTTTTTCCTAATTCTCTCTCAAATATTCAATTTGCATCCTCCAGAATGTATAGTTCGAGCCGTTGAATTTCTCAATCTTATACTTTGCTTCATCCGTCATTATTGCCACTCGAATCGAACAACCTTGCTCTGATCAGTTGTAGGGGATGGAAGTAAAACATCGTAACGAAACAAACAAGAAAAATAGAAATGCAGCGGAAAGTAAATGACACCGGGATTTAACGCCGAAAAATTCAAAATCGGAAAAAAAAACTATGGAGCCACACCACACCGAGAAGTCCACTATAAAAATTGGGAGAAATATGTACAAACCTCTCTTCTCTTTAACTCTTTTTTTGCTTCTCTCCTATCTTGCACCATTCTCACATGGAAAATACAAGAAAAAATAAAATTAATAACACCAAGAGATGCCACCCCTGAGAAAAATGAGAAAGAAAATTGTTCAGTCCACCTCGAAATGTTGTGACACTAATTTGGAGTGTTGTGATGCTCAAACATCTAATCCCGATTTGTCTGATGATGTTGTGGCGCTCAAACATACAGCGCTGCAGTACTACATATTGCTACGACATCTAATCTAAAGCGCTGTAGCATTTTTCTCTCTATTTTTTCTCTTAGCAAACTTTGCAACACTAGGGCACTCGGGAGCACTGCACAAGGGCGCTCGGGTACACAATATTAGCGCGTTATACAGAAAAAAATTCGGGTGCAAAGCTCCTGAATCCAAGCAGGCAGCAGGATAATTGAGAAATTGACTTGAAGTCCATGATAACAGTACAATACAATTGATCGACACAATCAAATTCCGCACAGACTAACAAATTCAAGTTAATTTCCTTAATCGATGAAAAATACCATCTGCATGAATCAACAAATTCTTGCTTAGCTTGTTCATTCTATATCTTTCCACATTAGGAAATATTTTTTATGCTTGTGGCCAGATGCTAGTGACCATCTTATAATGATGAGAAATAATGCAGTATGAAGATAATTATTTCTGACACAGTGATGATGCATTAGGACATTATTTGATTAAATATACAATTATACATCAAATTTAATACAGCCGAAATGATATATGTACTTTAGATGTTTTTTAGTTGTTAAGTCAATATATCATTTCGGCTTAATGGGCTTAAGCGCCCTTTAGGGTTTTTGTAAGATTAAAGAGCTTAGTTTGGAGATGACTCAGGGAAACTCGAAATATATTGCCATATTATTGACTCAAGGGAATAATTATTAGGAAATTTCCTAAATAATTTTAACAGGGTAAACAAATTTTAAAATATATGAATTTAGTACAAATATAAATTTATTTGAGCTATTTTTGGTCAGTGCTATCAAAATGGTAAAGCACCATCAAGTCAATGTAATTACCTAATGTCCGAGGCGCGAAGTGTCACCCTTTGTGCTTAAGAAAAGTAAATTGATAGAGAAGAAATAAATCTCTTTAAATTAATTTTGTGTGATAATTATTTTCTTACTATGCAGAGTGATGTTGTTGTTGTTGTTGTTGTACTATGCGGAGTGATAATCTCATTCTCAGATTAAACTAAGTAGATAAAATTATTAATTTTCAAAAATTCCATAGTATTTCTCCTTCAAAATTATTGATAATGACTATCTTAAACAAGGTAAAGTACTTAAGTTTGTAGCATGTATAATCTTGGGAATCTATTCTTTTCTTCTTACTATTCCATTTTTCATGATCATTTATACTCTCTTTTCCATCACTAGATTTTGTAGCCCTTTATTTTTGTCCATCTCCTCACACTAATCTTCTTTATCTATGATTTACTTGAAGCTCTTGTAGTAATATTTTCTCTAACTAATCTTCTTTACCTCATGATTTATACAGGGTCAAAAGGGAGGAAGCCAAAATTATTGCATGGGAGAATTTACAAAAAGCAAAAGCTGAGGCTGAAATAAGGAAATTAGAGGTGCCTCTTTCCTTTCTAGTTATCCATCTATTAAGCAGCACAATCTCCTAGTTTCGGCAAATTATTATGTGCGGAGTCCGGACGTCGTCCAGAGGCCAATAAAAATGCGCCTCGTCACTCCAAAAGTGTACCGCGCTTGGTACCAAGTGGTACCGGACGGTTCTCCCGTCCGGTGTCCACACAGAATAATCTCTCCCTAGTTTCTCTGAATTATCATGTTATCAAAGCAGTGTCTTCTGTGGCATCATTTTGATTATTTTGAATTTATATTCTAGATGAAACTAGAAAAGCGAAGATCTTCTTCCATGGACAAGATACTTAAGAAGCTTAAGTCAGCCCAGAAGAAAGCAGAGGAGATGCGAAGTGCTGCGACTGCTAGCCAAATCCAACAGGTTACAAAGACATCCAAGAGGGTCTCATACTTCCGCAGAACTGGACAAATCAGTTCTTTAAGCGAATGCTTCATATGCCATGCTTTCTAGGTTGACACTTCTCATATCTTAAATTGCAAATTCCATCATCTACTTATTGATTGTCTTTTTTTTACCAGAGGCTCATTTTGAAAGAAGGCAGAAGATACCAGGCCTCCATGTAACCTGCATGGGTTCCAGATGAAACTGATCGAGCGACACTTCTGCAAGGAAGATAAAGCTGATAGGTGCTTTACTGGAAGAAACAAATGAACAGCTCCATATTCAAATAGAGGGCAGTGCTGCAAGGCTATGGTTTGTTCAATATTTATTTTGGGCTCATATTTCATTTGATTTTTATCTCATGCATTCAATCCAGAGCAGATGATTTCATTCCTGGGAGAACTGTTTAGCTGATAGTTTATTTTATTTTGTGTGTCTGCTTGTTCTTCTTGACAGTAACTTACCTGTAAACTGCTTCAGTTAAATTTATCAAGTTTTTTCTTTAAAAATTGCTCACCTTCAAAATTTATTTCTATATATAAAAGGGCAATTTTTGAGATTTTTCCCCAACCCCTAAAAATTTGGTTTTGCCACTCTCAATATTTATTTCTACATATGGAAGGGGCAAATTTGAGATTTAGTTTTTTTTTTTTAATTTTTTTATATTTAATAGTTTATATAATAAGTTCGCATATTCTCAAAACTATAGTTGGTTTCGCGCCTGCTTGAACTCAAATAAACAAGAACTATAATAAATGTGCATAAATCAAATTCTAGGTTATATATTATTTTTGAACAAGAATCATAATAAATGTGTAGAAATCAAATTCTAGGTTATATACAATGGATTTGGAGATTTTTGGAGGAGTTTGATTGCAAAAAAAAATCTAAGTTTATATTGTATTTGTTTGAGATATAATGGATAGTACAAAACACAAAATTTAAAAATTACAAAATTTAAAATAAATATAAAACTCTACTACTCACCAAAGTTGTAGTTCTAAAGGAAATCATCAAACCCTTTCTATTTTGGTTGGAACCAAGCTCCAGCCAAAGAATTTTCATTTAAGCTCAATCATAAAAATATCAATCTCGCACACTACCAAAAAATTGGGTTTTCGCAGCACATTTTTTAACTTTTCCCGGCGGTTATAACCGCCATGTTTTTTAATGCAGCGGTTGTAGAACCGCTGTATTTATAATGCGCTGCAAGGGCATTCAGCAGCGGTTTTAGGACCGGCGGGGAAGATATTTACGGATCGCATATTTTGCAGCGGTTATAACCGCTGTAAATGTCCCAGAATTGTGCCAGTTATAACCGCGGCAAGTATGAGCGAAATCGTCAGGTTTTTGCAGCGGTTTTTAAAACCGGTGCAAAGAACCGCTGCGATAGGTCGCGTTTTTTGGTAGTGTCTTCAAAGTATAGCCAAATAAATATTTATTTAAGTTACAAAAGATAAATTTGAATTCTAATGGATGAATATAGTTTTGTATTTTAATATATATGATTTTTAATTGTTTCCACCTTATTGGTTTATATTGATAAACTCGTAGAAGTTATGGTTGATTAATTAAGATATTAAAATAAATAATTCTTCCAAAATTAGACCATGGGGTGTTACAAGGACAACTTCACCAGACAAGTTATTGATCATCTACTCGACTATTATGTTTTGTATGATTATATTTGCACCCAAATTTATAACACTTAAGCTTTGTTTGAGACGGCTTTCTTTCTGCTTCTTAAAGTAGCTTTTTAGTACAAAATTAAAATTTTTATACAATGAAGCTGCTTTCAGAAGTAATAAGAAAGTTGTCCCAAACGAAACCTTATGTTTTATTTGGGATGACTTTTTTATTGCTTCTTAAAACAGTTTTTTAATACAAAGATTTTAATTTTGATATTAGAAAGCTAATTTAAGAAGCAGCAAAAAAAATTGTCCCAAACGAAGTCTTAATCTATGGCCCAAATTTATAAATAGGGTTTCGAGATAAGCACAATTTATATAATTTTCTATAATAAAGTCTATTTTACTGAAATCCTAAATTTTCTTACTCTATAATTCATCTCTTGCTCTCCATGTAGCTCTCTCTCATTCTCGAACTTTTATTACGTCCGGTGCAAGGACGTAGAGGAACGTCCGGTCAGAGGCAATTTTTCGTCAAAAAACTAGGTATTTGCTCGGTACAACTAGGTATTATTTGATAATAATGAGGAATACCGTTCTCTGAAGACCAATACCGAGTTATACCGAGCTGTACCGAGAAATACCGAGTTGTACCGAGTTTTT